TTCAAACAAATAATATTGAAAAATAACACAGTAATTACAAATAAAATAGCTTCACCCTTCCCAATCATGGGACTCTGGCTCCGAGAACTGAAGGCTGAGTTGTGTCTTAGGCTTCAGTGAGGGAGGGGTGCAGGGTGTCAGAAACCCAACCCACTTGGCCCGAAGCACAGCGGTAATTGGTCCACAAAACTAAAGCCCAGCAGAAGGGCCGCCTCGGTTTGGTTGCAGGGGCAGAAATAGCCAGTCCCTGGCCATATCTTGGTTCCCTTCTGATGCCCCCACAATTTGGCTTCATTCTCAAGGGAATGGTTATGGAGGTGAATCCCGGACACGATGCACAGAGTGGAAAATTCCATACCATGCAACTGGGTTACATACACATTAGTAAAAATATTACATCACATTACATTCAGGTTCTGTGCAGGAGGTGTACAAGTATGGAACATGAATGAATTTCATGTTTACACTTGGATCTCATTCCCAAATAATCTCATTATAGATGTGTAAATATTCCAGATTGCCCCCAAAAATCTGAACTCTGGAAACACTTCTGGTCACCAGAACTTTGGATAAGAGATATTCCACCTGCAGTCCAACAAATGCCACCATAAGCCTCGTGAGCCCCGGGGGGTGGATGGAGCCAGGGTTGGGGGGAGTAGTGGGGGGGAGGGTCACGTGCCTTCCTTATGTTAATCTTAAGACTCAAGGGCAGAACTCAGCAAGGTCACAGGCTCCAAGCTGTGGTCCAAAGGGAGGAGCCAGCTTCCCTAAAGAGAACTAACTGGACCCTTTGTCACTGCAAGTCCTTCATGAGGTGGGTGGGGCCTGTTTACCTAGCGCCGGGGGTTTCTGATCACCTTGACTGGTGGGGGAACAGGACCAAGAGCTGAACTGTGCCTGCTGCTCTGCAGAGGGAGCCTGGGCGGATCCAGCCTGGGCAGGTGAGAAATACCGCAGGACCCAGCAGTCCTGCAGACTAATCAGGGGCAGGGTGAAGAGTCAGAAACACCCAGGATTGAGTTTGCAGATGGTGGGTGGAGTTCTGCTTCCCAGAAACCAGTGGGGCCCCACTCAAGGTCAGTGATCTGGCCGGCACCTTGGCCCAAGGACTTTGGCATTTGCTTCTGCTTTGGCAGGCAGCGGTGATAGCTCAAGTAATTGGATTCCTGTCAACCCAGTGGGAGATGTAGATTGGGTTCCTGGCACCCAGCTCTGGCCTCTGTCCGCCCCTGGCTGTTGTGGGCATGTGGAGAGTGACCAACTGGATGGGAGCTCTCTGTGTGTCTGTGTCTCAAAAAGGAAGTTTATTTTGCTGCAAAAAAAAAAAAAAAAAAATTAAATCCATGCATCCTTTTTTCCATGAACTGTTTGACTCAGGTGTGCTTGGATTTCAAAGGTGTTTTGCACCAAAATAAACGTTTTTTTCTTTTCTTCTTCTTTTTTTTTTTTTTTTTGACAGGCAGAGTGGACAGTGAGAGAGAGACAGAGAGAAAGGTCTTCCTTTGCCGTTGATTCACCCCCCCAAATGGCCGCTATGGCCAGCACGCTGCGCTGATCCGAAGCCAGGAGCCAGGTGCTTCCTCCTGGTCTCCCATGCAGGTGCAGGGCCCAAGACTTGGGCCATCGTCCACTGCCTTCCTGGGCCACAGCAGAGAGCTGGACTGGAAGAGGAACAACTGGGACAGAATCCAGCGCCCCGACCAGGACTAGAACCCGGGGTGCCGGCGCCGCAGGCAGAGGATTTGGCACTCTCACCAAAATCAACTTTTAACACTTTACTGTTCTGTGAACTTTTTGAAGTCCTCTCATGAATCTTACCTAGTCTTAAGGAAGCCAGACTCCAGAGTTGACATGACGTGACCCCGTGAGTGCATCTCACTCAGCCACATAAGCCTCAGGGCACTTGTTCTGAAGGGACCTCTTGGTCCCCTGATGCCAAGGGCAAGACACAGGTAGAATTAGAAACAATCGTTCTTTTAGCTCCCGTTTGGTTCTCAGCTTCGCAGGGTCATGGATGTTTGACAGCACAGCAGGAAGCAACGGGGAGGTGGGGGTGGTTGCACTTGGGGCTCTCGGGGCCTGACCCTGGAGCTTGACCTTGTGGGTATGGACCAAGTGGGGGCTTTCCTCTCTGCCTCTTTCAGTGAGGCTTCCAGTCTGGTCCAAGGCCACTCCTGCCAACAATAATCTAAATCCCTTTCTACATCTGGTAGTAGCCACGGGCCGCTAAAGCCCAGAGCTCGAATTGTCTATAAAGAGGGGGCTGGTGCTGTGACGTATAGGCTAAGCCTCTGCCTATGGTGCCGGCCTCCCATACGGGCACCAGTTTAAGGTTCTAGTCCTAGCTGCCTCACTTCTGATCCAGCTCTCTGCTATGGCCTGGGAAAGCAGTAGAAGATGGCCCAAGTGCTTGGGTCCCTGCACCCATGTGGGAGAGCCCCAAGAAGCTCCTGGCTCTTGGCTTTAGATCGGCCCAGCTCTGGCCATTGTGGCCATTTGGGGAGTGAACCAGTGGATGGAAGACCTCGCTCTGAGTCTCTCCTTCTCTCTGTAACTCTGCCTCTCAACTAAATAAATCATTTTTTAAAGTCTATAAAGAAACATACACCAAAGCAGACACAAGGAATACAAGCAAAATCTGTAGTCTTCTTATCAACAACTGTTAGAGAAGTGACAAGGAAATATTCCTGAAAAAATACAAAATATCCAGGGACAGAGTTCACAGGAAACACAAAAGACAGATCAAAGGTGTTTTTCACTCTACCGAAGGATGTCATAAAAGCATAGACACATTGCATGATACGTGGTGTTCTGAAAAGCTCAAAAATTATATAGTCATTTTTTTTGCCCCAAATTGAAATATAAATGTTATATAGTCCTGGCAAAAACACTAAAAATCCACCTTGGGCACCAGAAGAGCCCTTTCCTTTGGAAGAATACATTTTTAAAGAATTATAGCCATTTATTTCTGAGAGTGAGGGCAAGTTCTCTCATCTGCTGGTTTACTCCCCAATCGCCTGCAACAGCGGAGTGGCTGAAGCCACGAGCCAGGATCTCAATGCAGGTCCTCCCTCATGAGTGGCAGGAACCCAACTACCTGAGCCCTCCCTGCTGTCTCCCAGGGTGTGCATTAGCAGGAAGCTGGAGCCAGAGCGGAGCCAGGCATCAAATCCAGGCACTCTGATGTGCGATGTGGTTGTCCTAATCTTAATGGCTAGGCCAAAGAGGCACCCCCAACTATATTTAGAAAACCAAATTTAGAGGGAGAAAAGAAGAGAGAGTGGCCATTCTACCATAACATTCAAAAAAATTAAAGTTGGCCAAAAAACAGGAGACAAGAAAGAGAATGAGCTCAATTTAAGGAACTGACCGATGAAGCTATAGTGATTTTGCTGTAGGGCTAAGAAGCAGGTTTTGGAAGTCTCACAGAAAAACAGCCCTGGCTCATGATTTGCTGATGAGTGACAAGTTTCCCTAATACACCTGTTCTTTCTCGCTCACAACTCTGTGGGCCAGGAATTCAGGAAGGGCATGGCTGGGTGGTTCTCGCCTGGGCAAAGAGATGACAGCAGGTGCCATGGTCCCTTGCGAAGTCAGATGGACTGGACATCTGAGAGAGCCCACTCACCCAGTTGGGAGGTGATGCTAGCTTTGAGGGGTCATCCCTGGTGGCCTCGTGGGCATGGGGTCTTGGCCGGCGCCCCTTACAGAGAGCCTGGCTTCCTCCAGGAGCTCACCAGAAGCTCTGGGGGCCTCCCCCGACCTCACTTCCTAGGCAGCTGCTGGTAGATGCAACCACAAGGCCACCCCAGACACTCCACCTTTCAGAGCCAAGATATAAGGTATCATAACTAGATCAACGAAAAAAAAAAAAAAAAACCTCTAAATCTTACTGTTAACCCAGGGCCAGAAAGATACCCAATCTATGTATAAGGAGAAACCTTAGAGAGGATACACTTCTATTTAACACTCAAATCAACAAGCCCCAGAGTTAGGCCTCAGAGGCGCGAGACTGGACTTCCTCCCCAAGGGACATTTGGGTCAGCTGTTGACCTCCAGGTTTCAGCAGTTCGGGCTCATGGGCGTCCCCAGGGATGCCGGCATCACAGGCGGCGGCTTCGCCTGCTACGCCACAGTGCCCACCCCATGTGCACCCCCCTTTAGTCCCATTTTCCCACAGGCTTTTTGGAGCCCCCTCCTGTACTCTCAGGCTTGGTTTCCAGGTAGGTCCCTAGGTCTTCAGTGGCGGGTAAACGGAAGTCATAACTTACTTGGTCTCTGGGCAACCTAATCACCTCTGTGAACATGGATGGTATTCACTGCCTGGCCAAGCTCCACTGAGGGCCAGCCCCAGGCCATGGGCACCACCTATGCCCCTCCTGTCTTTTTCCCCAAGGGCAGCCTATGCCCCTGCTGTCTGAATGCTTGGGTTCCTGCTTCCTCCCTGCTTTTCCCTCCCCTGAGTCTCAGATACCCACCCCCAAAGTGGCAGCTTCTGCCATGCCTGCTCTCAGCCCTGCTCTGATCTCCACCAGGAGCTCTTGGAACAGGACGCGGCTCCCAAACCTCACGCAGATGTTCAAACCCCAAAGTCTTAGAGGTGGTGGTTAACAGGCTAATGTTCATGGTTGGTGGCTTCAGGGTGGAGACTCCATCTAACTGCATCTGGGAGGTGGGCTTGTTGGGCGGTCTCTAGGACCCTGGGCAGTTGCCCAGTTTGGAAGGTGGTTCTCATTTGGGCATGGCTGTATGACCCAGGCAAGCTTGCAGGCTCACCAAGTGATCACCCTCCGCCCACCTTCCACACACACCAGATGCCACCTGCCTGACCTTGACTATGAACCGTCAAAACCACCCACGGAGATGAGCCGTCTCCTTTCCAAAGCAGCCCCCCTTGATGTCTCTGTTGAAGTGACAAAAAGCCAACTAACATGGCTGCATACCCCTCCACCCCCCAGCACAGCAGGCAATTCCACGAAAAAGAGCTGATGCTATTTTTTATTGGATACAATCGAGGCAGCCCACGCATGCTGCACAGCAGTAGATCTGACAAGCTAGGGAGACAACAAGGGAGGAGCCATTGAGCTGTTCAGAACCTGCCTCGCAAAGTCTTCCAGCAGGGCCCTGGGGGGACTCCCACCTAAGCCAGGGTGTGCGGAGCCAGGGGCAGCGGGCAAGGCCGTAGAGCTGGCACTGACCCCCTAGGCATTCTGGCAGTCGGATTTCAGCAGGGAGATTTTATTCAGCCAGGGCACGCTGTAGATCTCGAAGGAGCAGAGCATCTTCTGTGAAAGGAACAGAGAGGGGCAGTCGGTGCGGGTGACAGTTAACCAGCACGTGCCCTGGCATGTGACGTCTGAGCGTGTGCGATGAACAGGGGTGACTCTTGTCCCCACCCGCCCCCACCCCACTGGCCGAGAACACAGCCCCACCTGTTGCTCCATATCTCCCACCAGTCCTGGTCCTCACGTGCCCTTGCCCCGTGAGCTGCAGCGTCTGCAGGGCTGCAAGAGCCCCAGGAGTGTAGGGCAGGGGACAGGCGCCCCCTCTCTCCCTCTACCTCTTACACCTGGGTGGGCTGCAGGAGGGGTGTAGAAGGAAGACCCCAGAGGGCGGAAGCCAGTGACTAGGGGATAGTGGCTCTCTCCACAGCAGCAACCTCGCGAGAGCTGGCCCTATCCATGGAGAAGCTGGTGGTGGAGTGAGTGGGGGCAGTCTTGGAAGGCTCTAGACACTCCTAAGCCTCTAATTCCATCTGATCTGTTCAGCAGGGCTGTGGGCAATGGGGCAGGCGGCCAAGGCTGGGACTAAACAGAGCCCCTCCCCTCTCCCCGTTTCCAGGCAGCTCCTCCTGCAGCTGCTGCTCCTTGTCCAGCAGGTGCAACCTCCAAAAGCAAGCCGTGCTGCCCTCCCCATAAACCCCCATGCCCAGGCTAGACCCCCTTATCTTAGCAATTCAGGTTTATCATGGGTACATACAGCCCTACTGCTCTCCACATGCACACATACACAAAACTCACACCGGTGTGTGTCTACGTATGAATCCCGGACCCCTGGCTACCTCTCCCCACACATGCACAGGCTTGCACATGCACACACACACCCTCCCCTTTGCCTCCATCAGGCACATACCCTCTGCAGGTCCGGCTGGTCGTGGAAAGGACAGTTGGCCAAGTTGGTCTGCGTCTTAGTGCACGTGGTCCGGCCTATCAGCACGTCCAAGTAGTATTTCACGCCACTTACGATCTGGGAGGGTGCAAGGAGCAAGAGTCAGCACGCCCTTCACTTTCACACATGCAGTCACTCTGCTGTTGTTGCTGGGCTGCCAGAACTGCCACCCACAAGGCCACAGGAGCTGCCTCCCCCTCCCAGGCCACACCCAGGCCCTGGCAACTCCTTTGAGTCCAGGCAGCTCCCAATAGGGTGTCTCCTGCAGCTGGGCGGAGCGATTAAGAGGAAACGCAAGAGGGAAGCCAGGGACTATAAATATGTCTTAGCCAGCTCCAGGAACACGAGGCACACAGCTCCGGGGAGCCAGCCAGGCAGGGGCAGGCAAACAGTTCCATGTACTGGGAGCACAGGGCAAGGGCCTGCTGTAAAGCAGGGCTCTGCAGGGACAGGGTTCCTGAAGTCCCACTAACTGTGGGCAGGGCAGGAGGCAGCGGGCGCTGTGTTTTAGGCAGGCAGGTGGTTACAGAGTGGGTTTGGGATGCAAAGGATGAGGGATCTGGGAGGGGGGAGCCAGGGCCTCAGACCTTGCCCTGGGATCCCTCGGACGATGGTTTTCCCATCTGTAAAATGGACCCACGACCCGAGGTGGCCTACAGCACCTCACTCCAAGCCGGTGTCCCCCTGGAGGAGACGTGGGACTGCAGGGACCCGCTACAAGCCTCAGGGCCCCAACATCAGCTGACTCCTCTGAGACATGGCCCAGGCCCGTGACTCAGCCGAACTCCCAAGGGAAGGCAGATGTGAGCTGTGCCCTGAGCGTGTGCCCCGCTCGGCTGGTGCCAAGTGGCCCGGCTCTCTGGCCTCAGGTCCAGTTCCAGGCTTCAGCCCTGGCTGATGCTCCTGCCTGCTGCCCCTACCCCGTTGCTGGCCAGAGGCCTGACCTCACACCTGCTGCAGCAGCACAGCCCAGGTAGTGCCAGGGGCCAGTGTGGTGACACCAGTCCCCAGGGCTTCTCCCAGGGGAAGGAAGGCCCCGCTGAGTGGCCTGTGCCGAGGAGGACTCCCGGGGCAGGATCACCTCACCACCGGTGTGTACCCTGGAGGAAACATCAGCTTAACCCGGACAGGTCATGGCATGTGCAGTTTAGCAGAGGGTGGGGTCTGAGAGGCGTGCTACTGTGTGATCCTCAGAGATGACACAACACGATAGGGCGGCCGCCAAGTACGCACTGGCCCATCACGGACCAACAAGTCCCAGTCCCTCTCACGGATGCCGCTCTCATGTGACAGCCTGAGGATCTGCTCCAGATCAGAGTTAGGACCTGGACCGTACAGCACTGAGCCTGGGGAAGCTGGGCAGTGGAGGTGGGGGGAGGGGAAGAATGGCGACAGCAGCCGGGTCTGTGCATTATTACAATTCAGCGCATGCAAGCTGACGGCTGATTTTCAAAAGCGCGCGTTAGGGAGGTAAGAGAAAGCGCTTGCTTTCCGGAAACGCACACGGAGGCATAAACAAGCTTGCATGTGCATAGGGAGAGGAAGGGGTGCGCTGAGAAGTTGGAGGGATGCTGGAGAAGGGTTCTTGGAGAACGCTCTGTAGCATCTTTGCCACCCTCTGTTCCGTGAACTGGAAACTATGTCAGGTTCAGAAGGCAAAAAGAAGTGTTCAGAAGCCATCCGGCTGCTCGGCGGGCTGCGGGCTCCGTCCGTTTGTTCTACTCCACTCACGGCCCTTTAACGAACAGCTCCCACTGTGCTCCCGGTGCCCAAGAGGCTGGGGTCCGGGCCTGCGCGGGACAGGGACCCACAGACAGACGCACCCAGACCCTGACCCCTGCGGCGCCTCCAGCAGGCCGGCGCTGGGACCCATGACTAAGGCGCCAAACACGGTCAGCTGGTCCGGTGGGATTCCAGGCCGCCCGCCCGCCCGGGGACTCACCGGCCAGGGCGCGGCCGGATCCCCGGGCCCCCAACCCAGCCCGGCCCGCCCCGGCACACACCTGCCTGCGAGCGCGCACCACCTGCAGCGCGCGGCTGTGGTACCTGTCGTTGCTGCCCTTGTTGTACTCGCTCTCCGCGAAGCCCAGGGCGCGCTGCACGTCCTTCTCTTGGGCGTCGACGTCCTCCAGGCCGCCCAGCAGGCGCGGCGACTGCCTCGTCCTGGCGCCGGCCGCGGGGCTCACGGCCAGGGCGAGGGCCACAACCAGGGCGGCCAGCAGCAGCAACGGAACACCCAGGGACCTCGCCATAGTGCGTGCACAAAGACGGAGCAGCCACGAGCAAGACTGCGCCCGAGTGCCGGCGTTCGTGCTTTTATTGGCTCGCCCCGCATGGGCCCGCCCCCGGCCCGCCTCTTCCGGGCCCTGCCCCGCCCTCCGCGCGGCCCGCCCCTTCCCCGCCCTGGGAGCCCGCCCGCCCCTGGGGCGCCGGGCGCCCGAAACCCGGCTCTGGACCCTGAGTCCCGCTGCCTCGGGCGAGGGCAGGGTGGCGGCCTGGGCCCTCGGAGGTCGGGGCGGGGGGCGTCCGTGAGCGCCGAGGAAGCCCTCGGGGAAATCGAGTCTGCGCCGCGTTTTGGGGAACTCGTGAGCCGGCCGCAGCAGGAGAAAATGGGCCTTGGTTCTGGGTTCAGGGCGCCGGGCAACGCAGCCAGCCGAGGGCCTGGGGCTCCTCGGGTTGCTCCCGGAGGATGTATTTTTGTGCGTCTGCGAGTGGGCGCGGTTTTAAAAGGAGGAAACTTTTCGTTAATACTATGTAGGCTAATCTACTAAATAATATTTCACAGTCTGGCTTTGTCTTTTTTCATTTGGAGCAGGTGCCGTTCGGGCCGGTCTCGTTTGGGGTGCGTGGTGGCCACAAGGTGTTGGTGGCCAACAGCCCAGCTTTAGGGGAGGGGCAGGGGTCAGAGGTCAGAGGTGCTGTGGCAGAGACATGGCTATCCCGGGACACACAGGGCCTGGAGGTCGCCTTGAGACCCAAGAGGACACGAAGCCCAGGCTAGACCAGGGGAGCAAAGCTCTGTGCAGGGGCCACCGCTGGTGCCGAGTTCTTGGAAGGGCCGAGTGGGCTGGTTAAACGGGGACCCGATGTGCTCCGGAAGCTCTCCGTGCTGGCTGTGTGGACAGCACCCTTAGTGGGGAGCCCCTAGCGGGCTGGGGAAGGAATGTTGCCCCACCTGGGACCCCTTTGTCCCCCCACCCCCCCATTTTCAGGGAGCAACACTGGCTCAGGGCTTCTGCTTACTCCTGGGAAAACTTCACCTGGTTTTATTTGTTATTTAATTATATTTATGTATTTATTTTTACTTGAAAGGTAAGAGTTAGAGAGAGAAGGAGACAGAGAGAGAGAAAGAGAATCTTCCATCTGCTGGTTCATGCTCCGAACAGTTGCAATAGCCAGGGCTGGACCAGGCCGAAGCCTGGAACTCTCTCTGGGTCTCCCACATGAGTGGCAGTGGCCCAAGCACGTGGTCCATCTGCCGCTGCTTTCCCAGGCGCATTTGCAGGGGCCAGGATCTGAAGCAGAGCATCGGAGACTTCAACCTCGCAGTGTGATGTGGAATACTGGTGGTGCTGCAGGTGGTGGCTTAACCCGCTGTTCCCCATTGCCAACCCAGCCTGATTTTGAAAAAAATCACCTTGAGCAAGGTATGATTTAGTAAGTACATGGACCACTGGTGCCACTTTTTCAAGGTCAGCTTGTGCCTCCCCCTCTTCCAGGCTTTGGTTGCCCCCCTCCCCCGGCTGTCCTTATAGACTCATTTCTTCTGCTTGCTCTTGAACTTCTCATAGACAGAATCACGCTGTGAGCACAGGCCTGCCTGGCTGCCTGGCTGAGCATTGTTTTTGAGCTCCCCTGGTTCTGTTTAGTCAGCTTGATTGTTCATTATTTCCCTCCCCAGGTTAATGGGGTGTGTTCAGGCGGCCCCGCTGGGGAGCTTAGAAAGCCCAGCGCTAAAGATTCACGCCATGATGTGGCCTGGGCGTGAATGAGACTCCAGAGTGGAGAAGGTAGGAGAGATTTTGAATGGATAGTTGGTTTCCTCTCTTCCATTCATTCCACCCTCGGTGACAAATGACCCATGGTGAAGGTGGCGGGCTTTTCCACCACGACCAAGCACATAAAACACCACCCTGGAGTGGCAGGTGGCCAGATCAAGTCATCCAAGAGAAGATTCCGGACACTGGGGGTTTGGAGCACTGAAGACACAGTGCTAGGGCAAGCGTGTGGCACAGTGGTTAAGTTGTCACGTGAGATGCCCACATCCCATATCAGAGCGCCTGATGCAGTTCTGACTCGACTGCTTCTGTTCCAGCTCTCGGCTAATGAACAGCCAAGGAGGCAGCAGGTGATGGCTCAAGTACTTGGGTCCCTGCCACCAAAAAGAGGGACTCCGATTTCTGGGCTGTTGGGTTTGGTGTTGGCCCAGTGCTGTCTGTTGCCAGCATTTGGGGAATGAATCAGCAGTTGGAACATCTCTCTGTCACTGCCTTTCAAATAAAATAAAAATAAACTTAAAAAAAAAAAAAGTAGTGTCAGAGCCGGCGCTGTGGCATAGCAGGTTAAGCCACTGCCTGCTGTGCCGGCATCCCATACGGGCTCTGGTTTGTATCCTGGCTACTCCACTTCCGGTCCAGCTCCCTGTTAATGGTCTGTAGAAGATGGCCTAAGTGCTTGGGCCCCTGCATGTACATGGGAGACCTAAAAGAAGCTCCTGGTTCCTGGCTTCAGCCTGCTATAGCCCTGGACATTTGGGGAGTGAACCAGCAGATGGAAGATCTCTCTCTCTCTCCCTCTCTCTCTGTAACTCTGATTTTCAAATAAACAAATCTCCTGGAAAAATGTAGTGTCACTAGCCATGGCTTACACTGAGCAACTCATGGGTTTTGGGACATCTCATAATGAAAAGGCTGGGCTGTCCCTTGTGGAATGTGAAGAGTCCTGTGGGGTCAGACTCAGGTCAAGACCCTTACATACGGGAGCCAGATCTGTGGCATAGCAGGTAAAGCTGCCGCCTGCAGTGCTGGTATCTCAAATGGGCGCCGGTTTGAGTCCCGGCTGCTCCACTTCTGATCCAGTTCCCTTGCTAAGCAGAGGGGGATGGCCCAAGTGCTTGGGCCCCTGCACCTATGTGGGAGACCCAGAAGCTCCTGACTCCTGGCTTCGAATCTGCCCAGCTCCAGCCGTTGTGGCCTTTTGGGGAATGAATCAGTGGATGGAAGATCTCTCTCTTTCTGCCTCTGCCTCACGGTAACTGTGCCTTTCAAATAAATAAATAAATAAATAAATCTTTTTAAAAAGATTGGGCCATCTTCTACTGCTTTCCAAGGCCATAGCAGAGAGCTGGACAGGAAGTGGAGCAGCTGGGTCTCAAACCAGCGCTCATATGGGATGCTGGCACTGCAGGCAGCGGCTTTACCTGCTATGCTACAGCGTAAATCTTTTTTAAAAAGAGCCCTATACACACCCTTCCCCCATCTCTCCTCTTCCCCTTCCCTCCTCTGACTCAGGGTGCCATGGGGACGCTTCCAGAATGTGTGCCACGTTGCTAGGGCACTTGGGGCTCTGCTAGATTGATGCCAGGCATTACGACACTGTGGTGCTCACAGGGTACTCGCTGGCAGCCTCTCAGAAGTGGTGTGGGAGTTCAGTGCCCCAAGACCCAGGACAGGAAATCCTCCTGGAAGTTTCTGCTCAGAGACCGATGTGTAGACAGCCCTCACTGCTCTGTGTGACAAGCTGCCATTTCTGTGTACAGCAGGTGCATTTCCCAGGGTGGATCCAAGCAGAGGTGCCCAGGGAAAGGCCTTCTTGCTGGGCACTCTACTCTCCCCTACCCCAGGCCTTGGCCTGCACAAGTCCCAGCCACAAAGAAAACAGGAGGCCGGGTCAAATTGAGCAATCCATTGGCGTCTATGGGCACAGAGAGCTGACTTTCCAAGCCCATGGTCGGCTGGCTGTGACTTTCCTCTCCTGTGTTTATATAAGCCTGAATCTCAGTTCATTTACCAGAGAGCACTGGAGAGCGGTTCCTGTCCCTCCCGGGATCCTGGTTAAACTGAGTCACCGGTGTTGGAGCTGCAACCAGAGGGCACTGAGGTTTCCCTTGCTTTGCCTTCTCCTGCAAGGCCCCGAGGGCACTGGGTCCAGGGCAGAGACTGCTGGTGACCAGGCCTCAGCTATGCGGGCTGCCCTCAGCCTTCCCTGCTGGGTTCTGACCTTGGTACCCAGGTCCTGTCCTGGCCGAGGTGGCACTGCTCAGTCTTGGTAAAGAGTCCCCCTGCCCTTGATATCCGATCACCCTCAATGTCTGGCTAGTTTTCTCCTGTCTCCCCCACCCCCACACTTGGAGGTCAAGTCCTTCTCTGCTTTAGCAAGAATCGCCCCACCCTTGATGTCTCCTTTTAGTAATTCCCCGACCCCAGCTGCAACCCCACCGGCACTCCATGCTCCTCGACTCTAAACCTGCTCTTGCCCTTGTGTCCAAGGTTTAGCCCCATTCCATTTCTCACAGTAGTGTTGATCCCTCCCACAGCAGTCTTGAAGACCCCTTCCGTTCCTGTTTTAACAGGGGTAAGAACAGCCTTTCTTGAACAGCAGGAGCCAGGCAGCTCAGCGTCCTGCCCTACCTCCACATGTAGCCTGGAATATAGCCAAAATCCCACCTGTGGTCAGGTAGGAGCCAAGGGGTGAGGGAGGCTGGGGGAAGGGCGATGGGGGAGGGAGAGGCACAGGGAGGAGACGGGGCAATCGGATGTGTTTGTCCCCACTATGTTTTTTTTTATTTTTTTAAACTTATTTAATGAATATAAATTTCCAAAGTACAGCTTATGGATTACAATGGCTTCCCCCCCATAACGTCCCTCCCACCTGCAACCCTCCCCTTTCCCACTCCCTCTCCCCTTCCATTCACATCAAGATTCATTTTTGATTCTCTTTATATACAGAAGATCAGTTTAGCATACATTAAGTAAAGATTTCAACAGTTTGCTCCCACACAGAAACATAAAGTGAAAAATACTGTTTGAGTACTAGTTATAGCATTAAATCTCAATGTACAGCACACTAAGAACAAAGATCCTACATGAGGAGTAAGTGCACAGTGACTCCTGCTGTTGACTTAACAAATTGACACTCTTGTTTATGGCATCAGTAATCACCCTAGGCTCTTGTCATGAGCTGCCAAGGCTATGGAAGCCCCCTGAGTTCACTGACTCTGATCATATTTAGATAAGGCCATGGTCAAAGTGGAAGTTCTCTCCTCCCTTCAGAG